ACACACCATGGCATGGTACACAGATGGATCCCTGACACAACAAGGCACGGGCCTTGGAGTGGTAGGGCCTCGCATAAAATACCACGAAACCCAATATACCAGCATATTCCAGGCTGAGGTATGTGCCATTGGACGTTGTGCAGAGCTCAACAAACAGCGTGGATACAAGGAAAAGGACATATCGATCCTTTCGGACAGCCGAGCAGCAATTACAGCTTTACATAGTAACAAAATCACCTCAAAGCTAGTCCTAAAAGTGAAGAGTAAGCTAAATATATTGGACAGCTGAAACAGGCTGGCCCTCAGATGGATTCCGGGACATAAGGATATATCCGGAAATTAACTTGCCGATAAAATGGCAAAACTAGGAGCCGAACAGCCCCTGATAGGACCAGAGCCCTACTGTGGCATAGGGAGGCACACTATAAAGGAATACCTTAGGAAAGAGGAAGGCGCCATGAGGCAAGAACACTGGAGGAATACCCCAGGCCTAAGGCAACCCAAAACTCAAATAAATAACTACAACAAGAAGAGGTTCAAGGAACTTATTCAACGAGGGAAAAATTCACTTAGGATCGTTATCGGATTACTAACCGGGCACTGTAGAATGAAAAGTCCCCTAGGTAAGATGGGAATAACCAGCAGTAGAACTTGCAGATTCTGCGACATAGAGGACGAAACGTCTAAACACATCATCGCAGACTGTCCGGCACTAGCAAGTATTAGATGTAAAATCTTAGGAACCAGAACTCTTACACCTGAGCTCCTAGGAAGAATCAACCCAATAAAACTTCTTCGAGGAAGTGGGTTGATATCTGAGCTGTAAGCTCTGAACGGGGGTACAATAGATCTTACAGGTCGCGGTACACTAAACACCCCGATACTAATAATTAAAATAATAGTCATCAACCTGGTGCTTTACAATCTTTGCTTTGTTTTCATCGAATCTCTTTTTATCGTAATGAGCGCTCCGATCAATGTTTTCTTTGGCTTGCGCTCTAATTTGGTATCTATTACCTCCTCTTCTTCTGTAATAGGCAACAAACCAAATGGCCTTCCTTCCCTGCCAATCATTAATTCCAAAGGTCTTACTTTAGTGACACGGTTAATCGCACTGTTAATAGCTAACTGGACTTCTAATAGCGCGTCTTGCCTGGAGCGCTGGCTTGTTTCGACCGCTGTAGCATACTTTAAAGCGTACTCATTACACGTTCGACTTGCCCGTTAGCTCGGCTGGCGCCGGTGGCAATCAAATGAAGGTTAATTTTCTGGGAAGAGCAAAACTTTCGGAATCCGAAACTGGCAAAAGATCTACCCTGATCGGCAATCCCACGCATTGGCAAACCAAACAACGAGACAACAAGTTTCATTGCTCTCACACAGTTTTCCGTATTTAAGCTCAAAGTGTGATACATATATACGAACTTAGTAAAAGCGACTATAATAACAATAGCATACTCATTTTGGTCATTCTTGCCACTCAATATCCCTGTAATATTGATATGCAGAGTATGCCAGGGTATATCTATTTTCGGAACCTGGATGGAGTTCAGACAGCACTTTATCTTTAGAGCCTTTGGATATTTTGCATGTAATGCAATTTTCTACGAAATGCCTAACATATTTTGACAACCAATAAAACGCATAAACTTTATCTAATGTCTTCTGCCAACCCAAGTGCATCACAGCTTCGTGTAAGTGGTTTATTACAGCCCATTTGTAAGCTCTGGGTATTATGGGCAGACAACGTGCTTTTCCGTTGCGTTGAATTTTTCGATGAAGCATACCTTTTCTCAACTCATAATTTTTTGGTAAATCTTCCTCTAATTCGTCGTTACGTAGCTTTTCGATTATTTCAGAAACTTCTGGATCTCGCTGTTGTTCATCGAGTAGCCAGTTGTCGGAGACCTCGGTTAAATTTATACGTTTCTCGACCACCTTTTCTAATTGGGAATCTTATTCGGCGGGCAGAGGATTCCGAGACAGAAAATCATCATGAGCCATTCTCTCCCCATTCCTATACTCAATGCGAAACTGAAAAGCCTGCAAGTACCCCCACCATCGGTGTACCCTCGGCGTCAATGTTGTCTTGGAACGGCTCGCCCTCAATAAATCGCAGTCCCAAAAAATCACAAATAATGCCTGAAATGTTTAACAGCGTTCACCACTGCAAGAGTTTCTGAATCGTATGAATGGTATTTGGACTCGACTGGAGTTGTTCATTTACTAAAATTCTCGATTACATACGGCTTTTTATCTATAACCATACTTTCATCTGTAAGCAACTCGACAGGGTGTTTGGGATCGAAGATGGTCAATACTGGAAAACTAGTCAAAATTTCTATTATTTTTTGTCTTATTTGTTCATGTTCGTTTTTCCAGGTAAGTTTCTTGCATATTTGAGTAATTTTAGTAAAAATAATTGTTTTAATAACTCTGAAAATTTTGGCACGAACTGCCTGAAGTAGGAAGCCAATCCTATGAACTGTCTGTTAAATGAGAATCCGGATTCCATTAAGATTTTAAGGACTTAATCAAATCTTTCCATTGCCTGATCTTTCGTTTCTGCAACTATCAAAACGTCGTCAATGTAAACTATAACATCACACACCGATGACGCGTTTTTTAACCCAAATGGCAGGGCGATATATTCATACTGCCCCTCGGGCGTTACAAATGCCGTACGTCCGACCGAGTCCTGGTTAACTAGAATTTGATAAAAGCCACTAGCCATGTCTAAGCAAGAAAAGAAACTAGCTCCTCTCATACGGGCAATTTGGTCAGCTGCAAGTGGTTAAGGGTATTTATCTGCCACCGTATTTGTGTTAAGTTCCCTGTAGTCTACGCATAAACGATCTTAACCGTTATTCTTCTTGACCAGCATCATCGGATTAGCAAAAGGGGAACTACTATGGCGTATAACTATATAACTATATATAAATCATTTCCCTAACATTAGCCTTTTCTTCTTCACTAAGTCTATGTGGGCGACGCTGAACATATGTGGATCAATGGACCGTATGCTAAGCAGCCCTGTTGTTACTCGTGTGTGTGGAATGCCCACTATAAATTATTTTGAATATTTTCCTAATATTTCACTGAATTTTTCTTTATCAAAACCACTTAAATCTTTATTAAAATTAAAACGGTTTTCCAGATTTGATTCATACCACAGCGCTTGTACCATTTTAGGCTTATAAATAACAAATTTATTTGCTTCAATTACAACTCCGAAGCCTTGAATTAAAATATCTCGTCCAATAGGAATATCAAAATTCATAAAAGTATCCATAATAACGTGAAACAATATTTCAAGAAAATGTTCGTTTATATTAACATTACAAATTATCTGTACTGTGCTCCACACCGGTTCGTTTCCGATGCCCCTTAAAACCACCGTGCTAGACCTTAAACATTGACTTTAAAAGGCGAGCATCCAAGTTTGATAGGTGCGTCTAAACGATGGATACGATGAGATCTTCCAATTCATTTTATTTGAATATTGACATGAGCGACGTCACCAGGCGACTTCCATATTCGGGATTTGGACGCCCATTAAAGATGTTCATCAACGTCGCTGCCGGGGTCTCGATAATGTTTTCAGTAAATATTAATGAACCTGTATTGCACTATCAGAGTCAAATTTCGGCAATGATATGGAATTCGTTTTGACTTCCGTTAATGGCACTCGCGGGGTGTTCATTGATTCCACAAGTTTAAACAAGGCACGATTTTGAGCTTCTAATGCAGCTATAACACTTTCATTGTCCTGTGGCAAGGCCGATCCCAGAATCCATGTTTTACCAGGAACCAGCCGCGTATACTAAGCAACAATCAAATCTGAGCACCAAATAATTTTAGCGTTCATCGAATTCAAACACTTCTGATTAAATAAATTAAATTTAATTAATAATAATAATTAAAGTTTACTAATTAATCATAGACTTATCCATCCTGAGTTGGCGGTAGGCATAACGAACATTGCTATATGCGTCTGTATACTGTTTTCCCTTCCAATACGATAATACGTCTATGTTAATCCTTTAATAAGGATGTTGGACCTATTGACCTATTGCATCAGATTTCTGCTGCGAAGACTGAAAACGGGGATCCGAAAACAAGCAGGAAACTACGAATTTGTTATTTAAAATTATTTTTGTTTGTTTTTCAATAGAATCAAAAATTTGTTTTCCAATAACTTTTGTTAAAACCTGGCCTTAAAAGATTTTTAAACTTCGAATTATTGTAAGACATTCAGTCGATTTTGTGACGTGGCGTCCGAGGCTTTACTTATGTTTCCTGAACTTTAAACGCGTTTTTCTCGAAACTACTATTTTTGAGGTTGCTGACACGATATTTCAAGTTCTACTGAACCGATTTACTTGAAATTTGGTATATATCTGGTTGATACTTCTCCCTATTGGGTCTGCCTCGGACTTGCAAAAATGTTGTTTATAAGTGTTTCAAAAATATTCGAAAAGGTCGGAAATATTGATTAAAATCATTTTTGGTTTTCAAGTCGATACCGATTTGATATTTTTAATTTTTTTTTAAGTGGTTAACCCGAAACGACATCTTAACTAATGAAGAATTTGTTTGATTTCTCTACAAGGGCTGAAATCATGCCAGTCAGGACGCATCGATTTTTTTGATGACCCCACTCCACATGCGTGTATCTCGGCTAATATTGAGAGTTTTATTTTTTATTTTATTTTAATTGTGTTATTCTTTAAATGTTTATATAAGCCATATGAAAAACTGTATGCTACAAGTTTTGTTCATATCTCTTTTATCTAACTTAAAAAATGCCTAAGATTCAGGCTTCTAGACCAGAACACCCCATTAAAACTATTTGACCATGTACCTGATACGGGAACCAAAATGAGAATTGACTTTTTCCACAGTTTCGAAATAACTGGTATCTTACCGACGCTATCTTGACGTACATATAACAAATATATCGATATCTGTTATCGATAATTTCGCGGTCACACTGACAGGCAGCTGTTAAGATAAAACATATAATGTAATATTATTATGATGTTGAGCAACAATATATACCACTATAAATTGTTAGAAATGTTAAAGTATGGGAAATTTGGAACGATTTACAAGGGAACTTATTATAACAACAACAATTTAGCTATTGAAAAAATTTCTCTCGATCAACGAATGGAAAAGTTAACTAGAATGTGCAATGAAGTATTAACCAATCGGCAGTTTAAACATCGAAATATTAATACCATCCTTCACTGCTTTGTTTATGAGCAGTACGCATATTTGATCTACCCATATATGTGTTTTGGAGATTGTGAAATTCTGCTTCAAGATGTATATACTTCTGGTAAATTAATTTTATATACATATAAATAAGAACAAGTTTTAACCATAAGTTTGATATAAAAAAAATGTATTTAATTATATTGACTCCTACTTTATTCACGATCAAACCTCCGTTTTGAGCTTTGAAGCAGTGTTGTCTACGCGGGCGACCCCCGTCAGTGAGTTGTTTGGCCAGCTCTCTGCCGCAACACTGACACTGCCTTGAAGCTTTTTAATGTTTATTGAGTGTTTTCTTCATTGACCTTTGGATCAAAGACTTTTCTTTGTTTCGATCTTGGTTATGACTTTTGGTCCGGAATGTTACACATAACTTCCTTGCTGTTTGACAGAAATTGTCACAGTTCAAATCCTGCTTTTAAATGTATGTCTACTACAGAATTTATTATGTTGATAAGTAGGCTGGCGTTTGGCTTGGAATCCAAATAATCGTCAACCTAATGATTTGTAATAATAGTCTTCATCACTTATGGATATTCTTCTTGAAATTTCTTGGCATTGAAATTCTTTACAAATTGAGCTAAAAACGACGAAGAAGTTGTGCCGAAAGGCATGGCCTTTATTTGGTATATATTCATCGGTCTGTTCTGTTTTAAATCCCTCCAAAGAAAGCATTGGGCAGCTGTATCGTTGTCTTTAATATTCACCTGGTCAAACATTTCTTGAGTATTGGCAACAACAGCGACCTGATGTAATCGAAAGCTCATCAGTATGCCCACAATCGATGTTGACCAGTCTGTGCCATTAAGAAGATTCTTGTTAAGAGATGTTCCATTGCACTCAGCCGCAGCATCAAAGACGAGTCTGACCTTACCAGGTTTACTGGGGTTAACAACTGCAAAATGAGGTAAATACTATAATTTAGATTTTAAAACATTCATATCTGTTAGCTGAATAGCATAACCTTTTTCCAACAATTTGTGTATTTCATCTTGGTAGTTTTTTGCTAAATCTTTGTCTCTTAATAGTTTTCGTTCAATGCATTTCAGGCGCTGGATAGCCATCAGGGAGTTTGACTTGTTAATTTTTCCATGGTAGGCCCAATTCATAATTGTTACCAATTTGATTAACTGATGACTCCGCCTTATATATAGCTAACTTTTCCTTTGCTGAAAGTGTCTTGTTTACTTAACAACACACACTCCGAAATGTTCAATGTTAAACTGCTGTCTGATCATCTGCTAAAGGTTTTCATCGCTTATTTGGCACCAAGTAAAATTCGCTCCTTTTGATTCAATTTGGACTGGTCAGCTTACCCAACCCAGCTTGGTTTTAGATAACATCGGGCGAATCCCGTCTTCGTTGATAATACCTCTAGTACTGATCAAATTAGCAAGTCGTTGACCAATCAGAAGCATGCTTTGCTTGTCCTGCAGATTATTTAGAACGAGATTTTTGGAAACGAGTTTTGTTTATTACTTGTAACTTATTTTATGCGATCGAATTTTTAAATCATTGATTAGCAATACATCTTCTAGATGGTATTTATTACCACAGCACGCACTAAAAGTTATACTAACTGATTTTGTACACTCCTCCTGTCCAAGGCTTCTTTTTTGGCTTCTTTTTTGGATTCCGAAACACATCCGGTTATGTTTTGTGCGACATTTGTAATAGGCCGTTTGAGAAGTAACTTGTCATGGAATTTCTCGCAGTTATCGATTTTACACTGCTGTCTTTCGTTGCATGGACTTTTATGGTACTTCAGACAACAATATCACACTTTGTGTCGGTTGGCCATGTCCTTATGCTTTTTTTACGTCTGGTTTTGAAAATATGTTGTATTTGGTAAGAGCACGTCTTTACTCAGATTGTTTTTGCGACCAATTGACTAAATTTTGAAATGTGCTAAATGAAGCTCGTATATTTCTCTCTTTCAAAAATGTGTCCCAATATCTTTGATAGCTTTCCAACCGCCATTTCCAAAATCCTATGGGTGTCGACTAGCTTTCTGTCTGTGAATTCTAACCCAGCGCAAATGTTTTGAATGTTGCAATTAAATTCTTCAAAGTATGAGAGCTCTGTTACTTCCTTAATTTTGTGGGCTTTTGTTGTTAATTCCAGTGCAATGTTTTCAGGACCATCATATACTTTGTTTAGAATAGATATAATTCTACTTGGCTCTTTAGCAGAGATAAGCAGCATCTCTACTTTTGCTCTTGCCGCACCTGTAAGGGCTTTTGAGAGTTTGAACATTTTTTTTATTCGAAAACCCACAATGTTCAGATGTCCCATCAAACTGCAATTTCTGTCCGCTAAAATTTTGCCGAGCTAGTATTTTTGCTATCATTGTTGTAGATGATCGGTTTAAATCCTTAGTTTCTTCAAAGTTGTGTAAGGGATGCTGATCTTGGCTCTGTTGATGACGTATCCAATCCGATGAACGCGCGCGCGCTCTTCCTGATTTTGAATCTCTGATCGAATGGAGATGTTGGATCGGATAGAATACTCTGGATGAACAGATTTAGCTTTTAGAACATTTATTTTACTGACCTGTGCATCTTTTTTTGCAAAAAGAAGTTTCACGCATTTTAGCCAACTCATCTTTTTTGTGGGAAGAAGGGTTGTTTTCTGATTCCGCAAGTTTGCGTTTGATTTCCATCAAAATCACCAATTTTTTTGTCAGAACTGATACTTCGGACCCCTCAGTGTCTTCCGTGGCGACAAACGTAATGGCTTCTACTAAAAACACACTTATGTCAAAGAAGGCACAGACTCGTCACAACGTGTTTAAACTGATTTCCTTCCCTATTTCCCGCATGTGTATCAAGGTTTCCGAAAAGATTGTGATTTCCACGAATCAATGTTGTTAATTTGCTGCTGAATTCATTTCCACATTTTTGATTTGTAGTGTTGTTATGGACTGTATTTCAAGGTGTTAGTGTTGAATTATCGATCCGGCTCGAAGGACCACTTTGTTAAATAATATTCAAGACTTTTTAATTCATTATAAACTTTTATTTGTGTTTCTTATATTTTCTGCGACCGGCATGGCTTCACTTTTTTCTTAGAGAGACCATCTTCTTTTTTGTTCAAAATACATTGAAATTAAACCTGGCATTCTTTTAATAGAGGTATTAACACAAATATAAAAAAAGAAAGAAAGAAAAGTTGACCGATCGTTTTCACACTCAATCATCTTAACGACTAAACGACTTTTTTTCAAACCAATGCTATTTTGTTACTATTTGATACTTTTTAAAGATCGTAGGTCAATGTATTCGAATTTTTCGATATCAGCCACTCAAACGACATGAATAATGTCAGTAGTTAGTACTTTTTTTTGGAGCCTCGGCAGACAGCCCATAGTCCCGTTATTTTTTAGTATTTTTGTAAATATTAAATTGAAAACGTACCTTATTATGTGCAAAAAGTTTCAAAACATTCTGTTTGATACTTTCTTTAACAAAAATTCAGAAATTTACTTTTTTGTCGTGGGTTACACTGGTAAATCGATTAAACAAAAAAATGTCTGTTCCGAAAAAATGTTTCTTTTAAAAAAATAATATAATATTCTTGGCATTTTGTAACAAAACGTTGAGATTCATTAATATTCATACAAAACATAAAAAAATTACATTTTTAAAGTCCTAAAGATTTTTTCTGGCAAAAATAGGTCTGTCAGCTGTTTTCGTCTTGAGAGCGGCGCGTTTGTCCTAAACTTACTAAAGATATGATCCGACTCAGTAGTGCAAGGTAGGAAGGAGAACCCTCCTTTACAAACTCCATCGGTACATCGCCGATTGGAAAACTAAATCTATATGTCTTACCGAAACCAAAATAATCGATAGTATCGATGCTGACATCGATTTTTTCGCATCTCTTCTCATGACGATAAGTTTGGTATAATAAAATATTTTCTATGTTAACATTGGGTTGATCGAGGGGATTAAAACCGAACGGTTACAACCAATATAACTATTTCGATTACGGTTTTGGTACATATTTTTTATTCCGGCTTCGGTTACGTTCCCGCAACCAATACAAGTTGCGAGTACCGGTATAATTCCGATTGAAATAAAAATAATATTTCTAACACTATACCTATGTATTATTGCAAAAAAAAAATAGAATGTGCAAAGTTTCTAAAAGTTTGATTTTTTACTTATTTATTTATAAACGCTTAGCAAATTCATATTAAAAATTAATATTATTTATTTATCGACACTATTTTTCTCATTAAACAATAACTTAAATTTTTGTTTTTGATCGCTGCTTGCGAGAGAGAAATTATTGGAATATTAAATTTAGTGATCATTTGAACCTCATTGTAACCACTCCACATCACTCGTCGCATTTTCGCACAAGTTTTACACAAATTATTATTATACAAAATAGTATTAAATTTTCATGGTGACCCCGACGTGATCGCAGTACAACCAATTACCAATTTTTTTTCAATTATCAAGTCGGTATAGAGTGCTAAAAGTTTAAAGTTAATCTGTGGCGTTTTGTTAATTGTGTTTTGGCCCATCTTTTAACAATCGGTAGATAGTGAGCATTATTCTAACCCAGAAAAAAAATTTACATGTAATAACAAACAAAATTCTGCATTAAACATAATATAGTTCGAATTAAATGTGAATCGCTTTGGCCTATAAACAAGCAAATAGAATCCTCGTCGTCGACCCAATTAGTGCAATCTTAATTCCCCCAATTTTCGTCGCAGTGAGCACCAATTTAGGGTATAAATAAAATAACTGGAAAAAAGTGCAAATCGTGAAAAGTGTAGTTCTCAAAAATAAGCGGCAAAAACTTCCGTCGCAGTTCGCCTGAACATTTTCCAGCGCTTTTCAGAATTTTCCCTCGCTTTTTACAATTTTCCCGCGATTTTCATAATTTTTTTCACGCCTTTCGGCATCAGGCTTATATATTCGTTGCCCTTTGTTATCGGTCAGTGTATCATTCTCCGTTAGCATTTGCCTAGGAAGAGCCGCTAGCCGCGTACACATACACAAGCACACCGAGACCGCTGCCGCTATATCGAGTTATCTTTGGTCGATT